ATTTGAAGATTCTGTATAAGGATTAGATAAAACCTAGGCAGAAATTCTACACTGTATATAAACGTATTGTTCACATTTGAGCTACTAATATTATTATTCGGGTGTTGGCCCTGTTCAAGTAGCTAGTTAACTGGGTTCCAGTGGGAAGTCGTGACCAGTAGGGTACCACCAAAGGTCAGGTGTCAGGACAGATACTCGCCAGCAATGACATTGGCCAGTGGGAATTCATGGGCTGGCCATTGGATCGGATCAAGTCCCAGTTTCTGAATGCTCTACGAGCTCGCCACTTTGTAACCGGAGGGTCGTGGGTTCGAACCCTGGCAGTGGGTGTGTACTGATGAAAAGTCGCAAACTAAGGAGAAACAGTTGACTGTCTAGGGCACATTGGTGGTTTTCCAATCGTCCTCTAACCCATGTCAGCTCATGATGACATCCTGTAACCAATCGGATCCTTGCAAACCAACACATGAAAATTCTATTTCAAAAGGATTTAAATCTGGATAAATTGGCTCTATAATGAAAATGAATGATTCAAAAGTGATGCGTATATCGTTCATAAGAAGTTTTATTGTTTGACTCTATATAAATAAATTTCAACTGACACTTAACTAAAGAATAAAAATATATGATAATCCTTAAATCAGACTGTTCAATTTCAGAGAGATTCAACTGACGTCAGATGAAACGCCATTAGCTATGATTTGGTGGTATAATGCTTGTCAATCACAACAAAGACTCGGATTCGATTCCTGGCCCACAGACTCCTAAAACACCTTGTTCACCAAACGGTAGTAAGCCTCGAAAACAGGGAAGGTTGAGCATGAGACTGACAATCCCACCCCATTGTGCAAATCAACACGGCCGCTACTGAAACTTCGATGTCTGAAGTCCTATGTTACATTCGGAATATAACGAAATAAGGGAAAACCCGTCAGCAGTTAACGTTCGATAGGAAAAAAAGAGAACCCAAATAGCATTAAATGCGTATTTTGTACTAATTCACAAGAGTGTGTACCAAACCACTGTCTGTCTGTTTGTTTCAACATAGAACTTTGCACAGATGTGCAGCAGTTCGAGTCACCACACTCCATGTAGCACACAAAGCAAGAGAAGAAAGTGAAGAAATGCATAATAGAGACAGTATACAGGGATATGAGACAAAAGGAATAGTAATATCGAAGACCAATATGGTTTCATTGGGAGTTATAAGTCACAAGGAGTGGATGCATCTGTGCCAGCCATTGAGAACGAAGATTTTGAGCCATATCCCCGATTGTCTTCAGCCGTGATTGGTTTTTGCCATCCCGAGGACCCCAACCAGGAAGTCTACACCTCCTACGTGGCTGGCTTAAACTAACTGTTGTGGATTTCATTGACTGCTGCCATGTTTTGGTGTGACCGCCGCTAGCTCTTTTCCAGCCTGACCATATGTCAGCTAACATTGCCCGTCGAGGAAGGCGTTGGCTAGGCATGCGTAACACATGTCCTAACCATCCCAGTCGATGTAGCTTCACAGCCTCATCGATTGATTTTCCCTCCAACCTTACCTAGCACCCGATGCCTAACCTCAATATCGCTCATCCTATTATACCACTTAAAACGGGAGATAGAGCACAGGCACCTATGATCAAAGACAACTAGCCAGCCTTTTCATGTCTTCCACTCTCAACGGCCAGGTCTTACAGCCAGCCATAAAGGAGGACGGAGCGGACTGATGAGCAGTACACTCACCCTTTGGTCGATATCCAGCCGGATATCACGTCTACGCCAGAGACGGCGTAAACCGGCATATGCAAACTAGCTTTCTGTATCCTTGCTGAGATTTCGTCAGCGATCAACTAGTTGGCATTGGCTGATGCAACTTCCCAAATAAGTGAATTGGTCAATATGCTAAGCCACCACTTCACTCCCTATTTGTAGGCTAGAAGTGAATCAATGTAGTCCTAGTCCAAACCACTAGGCAGGAAGTAGTGATAAGGCGGATTTTAATCCAGTAAGCTACATATTTATTTATTATTTAACAATAGGTAAAATAAATGCCAAACAGTCAATTTCACCTTTAGGCATAAATCCGACCTAAACAAACTGGTTGGCTCTCACGAGGTGTGCAACATAGATGGCACTGAAATAGAAACCAAGTCGGAAATTAAATACCTAGGTGTCATTCTATCTGCTGATCTCTCCTGGTCGTCTCATATCTTGGCGATTTCTAAGAAAATATTCCGTCTTACCTTCTACATCAAGAAGTTAAAACATTCTGGTATAACCCAACCCTTACTCCTACAATTCGTTAACTCTCGCATTCTGCCTATTATTCTCTATTGTTCCCTCTTAGTTTTTCCCGGGCTACTGAAGAAAGACTATAACATATTACGCAGGATGTTAAAGGTTGTCAGCAGGGTAAGCAACGTGCCACTTAACCAGCTTGTTAATATTCTGGTCGACAGGCACATGGACTCATGTGAAAAATGGGCCAAATCCATTTTATCTAACTCACACCACCCTCTTCACTCACAACTCTCCCCTTGCATCTCATTAGGTAAAACCAGAAGCCTATATAGAAAACTATATGCTCGCACCAGCAAGTACAAAAACTCAACCATACCCTACTTAGCTCGTGTTCTGTGTGATAAAGAAAGCATTAGGCGTGATACCTATAACTTATTAAATAGTCAGTAGAACAACTGGACCTCGTCTTTCCAACTCATATCATTTATAGGTACAACGTTTTCTCTCTCTTCTTTCCGTTATGTGCTGCTTTGTTTCTTTCTTCCGCTTACGCCAGTAAATATGATAGCACCTACTTTTCTAACACCTTCAAACACTGTTCAGCTTTAGCTTTGCTACCGACATGCCAATATGTTGTTGTCATAATGAACTGAGATTTCCTTAATCTATGTAGAATTCTATTTATTGATAATGTACTAACTGGATGCAATACTGTAGTAAAAATGCTGAGAATTCCATTCTGTATCACAAGTACTGTTTTGGAATAAAGCAAATTATTATTAATGTGTTGACCGTACAGTATCATCACAAATGTACCACTAGTAGACACTATCTGCTATCTATGTGAGTATATTGATTCAAAAAGCATGAACATTGGCTTACCAACTGAATATCTTAAACAACCATTATTGAGATGCACACTGAATGTGCAATTTAGATTCAATGATGTTATCTACAATCAAAGGGATGGAGTCGCAATGGGGTCTCCTTTAGGACTGCTCTTAGCGGACGTCTTCATGGCTAGCTTAGAGAATGGTCCACTAAAGGAAACCATCGGTAGTTTGTTTATGTATAAAAGATATATAGATGACACTTTCATTGTATGTGACGAAAACTCTTCATCTGCCGAACTTCTTGGGATATTTAATGGTTCTCACCCATCTTTGCTTTTCACGGTCGAAGAAGAGTCGAATTCCTCATTTCACTTCCTTGATGTAAAGCTAGATAGAAGAGAGAATGGTACGTTGCTAAGGTCGATTTACCGAAAGCCAACATTCACTTGGCAGTTCACTAACTTCAACAGTTGGGTACCGTTAGGGAGAAAGAGAAATCTTCCTTATGCTCTAGAATTCGTATAATCTGCTCTGCAGAGACAATCGATAGTGAACTAGATAAGCTTCGATCAAATCTCCTTAATAATGGTTATCCTACAAGGTTTATCGAACGTAACATCAAGAAAGAACACGCCCCCAGACAAATTACAGTGTCAAAGAAGAAACTGTTTATGAGTCTGGCATTCAAAGGTGACACCATTTCGATTGATAGAAATCGTTTATCTAAATGTATTCAACGTACTTTTCCTGCAGCTGACTTACAACTAGTTTTTACCAGCCAAAATATGATTAGACAATGCGTCAAGGATAGATCACCGCTTTTGTCCACATCCATGTGTATTTACTCTTTAACCTGCTCTTGTGGAGCTGTTTATATTGGACGTTGTAAGCGTAATCTCCGAAAACGTGTAGCTGAACACTATCCAGTCTGGTTAATGAAAGGCGAACGTAGAACTGCGAAGTCGTCTATCTGTGATCACCTGTTAGAGTCAGGTCATTTAGCCCCACGTGATTCATCTTTCAAAGTTATCTACATGGCAAAATCGAATCGATCCAAAAGTTTACGTTTTCTTCACTTATGCATAGCCGAAGCTTTAGCTATACATGAACAGAAACCTAAATTATGTGTTCAAAAACGTTTTGTCAAACCCCTTTCTTTACCTTGGTCATAGTAATGTTCTTTCTAGTTTTTATTTTATTTTATTTTACCACTTGAATTCTTTCCACTTCACTTCACATCTTAACGTAATCGTACTCTTATTTTTTAAGATTTTTAGACAACACTTGACATTTTTAAAACGTTTTTGATTTCAATTCACTTATAAAACAATCTTTAATAATTTTGTAATTTATCCACTTCAACTCTACCCCTTATAACATTTTAATAATCGTTATTCTTATCACATATATGTATATTGACTGAGCAATTATTTAGTGCCACTTAATAACCTTTTTCTGTAATATCACTACGACTGTACAGCTTGAAAATGAAGTCGTTGAAAAGAAATTTCTTCGCTGAACAAAAACTGTGTTTTTACTTAAATGTTGTCATTACTTGACCTGTGCTTCCTGCGAATGAACACTACCCTAACAGAACGAATTAGCGTGTCAGTGTTACACATTCTTCAATGGCTCTTTACACTGCCTAAGCAAAATTTCACCTTGAAATTTCGAAAATAACTCTTTTTAAAAAACTGAAATATCGATAGAGATTCTTCAGTGTCTGTGTTATACTTTCCTACAGTGCAGATACACAATAAAACCGTGCCCACCCATACCTTTACAACACATATATTCCATGTTCTAGTGATGTTTATCCCATAATGATTGGTTCTTTGCATGGCTAAATTTATGAAGGGAAGGTATCAAAGTGATAGGAATTACAATTTCATATTGATCGAAGCACATTTATCTACCGAAGTGTATATTTCAAAAAAATTCAAGGCGTGTAAGGGCATTAGATTCTTGTACGCGGACAAGCTACTGCTGATGTTGGCAGCACAAACGCACACACATACATGTACAGACATGATTCCATTCCGTAGTAGGCGCATCCGTAGCCTTTCTGGCACCAAACGAAACAAATCTTCAAGGCTAGAAAGATACTGTGATAGACTAACCCACCACACACACACACACACACACAGAATCTGCAACAATATATATCCCTCTCTATAGAGTGTCTATTTATTTCAATTAATACATTTTATAGTTGAATTTTAGCGAGCCGTTTTTAAGATTTTCAATATTTTCTTAATATTTTTCATTGAAATTTAACTGAATCAACGCAAAAACAGAAAAATTTAATTTAAAAAAATGGCAACTCGTATGAATGATATGGGTATGGATGTACAAATTAATCGTCGGGTAAGTCAACGTATTACTACTTATATTACTGTTGTATCTATGTACTCTTATACTATGTACTTCATTGTTTGAGTTCTGAGTGGGACAATGTAGTCTCAGCGGAGCATTTCCATCACTTTCTCAGCTGACTGTACAACAAACATCCTACAAGCTTTAATTTCTTGTCTCACACATGATCTTCTTCACGTCGTATCGCTTTTTCTCCTTTTCTCTAATTGTTTTTAATCTTCTAATTAATACAGTGAGTTTGCAATCTAAGCTCGCGCACAATTTTCGACTAAGTTTCTATTCAACCGCTAGAAGGTTTTTTCAAAAGGAAATGAAGGAAGAATACTGTGGAGGACACCACTGAAGTATACTTTGAATAGAATAACATCGCTTCAGATGGTATATTATCGATTGTTATATTGTTTGAAGATTTTTTACAGGGGGTAAATACCTTGCAGTGTGAAACTCGCTGAATATTCTGTATTGTGTTTAAACTCATCTTTCCGCAATAAAGCCATTATTATTATATTATTATTATTAAGACAAATTAATAATATGGGACTTCGTGAAGAGTGGACACACTGGGAACTAACTATATTCCACCACTCATATTTTGATCTAATATATTGATAGGATCACTGACTGTCACATGACATTTAGGTGTTGTCATGTTAGTAAATCAATTCTGTTTTCAAGTACTGGTTTTGTAAGGAATTTTGTCCTATAAGTTGGAGGATTTTGTCATGATTAGCTGACATCAGTTAGAGAACCATTGGAAAACCTGCAGGAAGTACTGGACAACTGTTTCGTCCGTCCTAGATTGGGACTCTTCAGTAGTGCGCACCCACTGGGGTTCACTAGGAGAAAAAATTTTCCTGAGTAAATGTGTTAAGTGTTTTCAATAGCTGTAGAAAAAAAAGGAGCTTCACTATTGAAATAATGGTAAGTAAGTTAGTTAACGCTATCGACCAATTTTGTGATATTAAGGTCATATACTAAGAATATTTATATGTAAATACATATTGCTGAATGATCTAAGTCATTGCTGGCCACTCACATTAACCAGTAGATCACACCAACCAAATCGAGCCAATCTAAGCACCAATCATGCGTCTCCTCTGTTCGATGCCAAGCTCACCGGTTAAATTCGAATTCGAACAGGTGGAGCATTTCAAACCACCTAAATCCTATGAAGCTGTTTAAATGTACATAGACATAATTTCATCATTTAGAACATGGTGATCTGAATAACGAGTACACAACCGTTTGACGTGTGAGTGTATACAACTTGTTGTTCCAATATTCAGTCATAAGAAAAAGACGTAAACAGAGAAGAAAACAATTTTCCCTTTATTCGACGATTCATTTTCACATAAGCTGCTGTACAATAATCGTAATCAATATATTTAACAAAGAAATCATAAGACGACCAGTCAGATCCTGGTAAAATTTGTCCTCGAAAAAAAGGTATTACGCAATGTAAGCTGTAGTCTAGATGGCGTGACTAATTGGAAAATAGAAAAGGGGGCAAAAGTTGGCATTATGTAATAGGTGTGACTAGAAAATGACTGGTCAATATGATTGTGTAGAATGGACAGGAACTAGTAGAAAGACGATAAAGTGTTTTTATTCAAAATCTGTATGGAAACACGATGTTCCATTATGGGTAAATTTTGTTTTGATAAAGTCTCACAGTGTTATACAGTAATGTTTACTGATGACGTTTCGAGCACAATTTATTGCCCATAATGGAGTTACACTCTACCACAGTGCACAAGTTTTATTCTTATATCAATGATAAACACGATGTTATTAATAAACAGTAATACATCAAAAATAAGATCCGGATTTTCAACTCCAATGTGAAGTCAGTGCTACTTAACAAACGGATCAGAGACTTGCACTGCGCGTCATAAAGAGCATCTCAAACAAACTACAGACCTTCATCAACAGTTGTCTTCGCTCAATACTCAAGATCAGATGGCCAGCCGGCCAGAAAAGATCAGCAACAGAGATCTCTGGCAATGAGCGAACCAACCCAGCAGGAACCGATTGTGAAAGAAATAGGCAGGAAGAAATGGAGATGGATTGGCTGGCCATACTCTGAGGAAACAATCCATCAAGTGACATCACTAGACAAGCCATCGCTCGAGTGGAAGCCGAAAGGGAAGCGGCGAGTTGGTCGTCAGTGCGAAGGTGTGGTGACTTGGAGGAGGTGATGTGAAGAGGAGATGAAAGCGTGTGGGCAGACTTGGAGCCAGGTGAAGACTGTAGCAGAGAACCGAACGCAATGGAGACGCACGGCTGAAGCCCTATGTTCCTCTAGGAATTAAAGGAAACAATAATAATAATATACAGTAATAATAAAATATGGATGATGGGAATAATAATGATAACAAAATAGTAATAGTAAACTTACTTAATAAAAGGAAGCAAAATTAAAGTAAGGGCGTTACCGTGGCCATGGTAGGGCGAGTGAATGTATGTAGTGCTTTTGAATGCAGACGTCCGGTTTCAGACGTATGCCAAGTCCATTTGTACGATATTGAGGGACTCTGTGTAGTAGCACTGTGAAGCATTCATGCAAGTGGGGGTGCTCGATGTTCAGAGTTCTTGACAAAGTATTCGAGGATGTAGCTGCTAGCATTCTTCTTTTCTCCTCTGGCTGGCTAGCCAAGCTGGACAATGTTCCAGAACACGTTTGTAGACTTGACGTTGCGTATGGCCAATATAATTAACTTATTAATTTTCAGTTGATTGTTGTGTTATTTTCTGCTAGCCTCATGCCCAACCTTTCCTCTTCACCAGCATTACTTTTGGCTTAGAGAGGTAAAGGAGTGCGTCCGTGGCCGGGATCGAACCCCGGACCATGTTTTGATGTGTTACTCTAAAAATAAACTTGTAGGGTATCATACAACAGCCTAATTCAGTTATTCACCTGCCATATTTCTGTGTCGTTTGTTGTTGTTGTTTTAAACATGATTGTTAGTCATATTGTATGGTGGTGGTTCATTCAGTGGAAGAATACTCATCAACCATATACCTGTTCCTGATTCGATTCCTGGCCGACTCATTCCTAACTATCATCACCTAGTGTACTAGCCAGTAAGTAGATCCAGAAGAAGGGGATGGTTTGTAGTGGTGAAATAACACTAATGTCACAGGAACGTTAAAGCCTGAAGACTTATGTGACACTCAGGAAGCAAAGGAAGGCAGAAAATCAATCACATCTGTCCTGATGATATTTATGCTATAAGAAAAAAATTCACTTGATGTATCTGTGTTACTAGATGGTTGGAGGCAATCGGCAGGAAGCCTTGGACCTAGGTTTCGTGCTATTTGGCACTCATCAGCAAGGCGTATCTGCAACCTACAGGAGGTCAATCGCGAGCCCGAATAGCTCAGTGTTAACGTCTCTGACTGCAGCACTGGGTGATGCGGGTTCGAATCTCAGAAGGGACACCAGTTCCTTCAAGGTTGCAGATACGCCTTGCTGATGAGTGCCAACTAGCACGAAACCTAGGTCCAAGGCTTCCTGCCGATTGCCTCCAACCATCTAGTACCAACAATTCATAGTGCACCGTAATGGCGAGCCACCTAGCATAGTGGCCACATTGTAAACATGACTGATAGGACTCAGTCTGCACCGAAGATAGGACTAGACACATTACACTAGTTACTGACTAGTGTTCAATCAAAAATATATCTGTGTTAACCTAACATGTGTATGTTTATTAAAGTATAAGAACAATAACTGTAGGCTTTTCTGACAACTTCCTGTCATTCTAGTTTGGGATTCATCTGTAGTACTCACCCACACCAGGGGGTTCGAATTCAAGACCTTTCGGTTACAAGGCAAGCTAGCTCGCAGACCATTTAGCCACTGAGACCTGACTAAATGGCCAACCCATGAATTCTAACTTCTAGCAAATCGAGATTTCAGCACGACCTGCCACGAGAACTCCAGGAAACTCCTTAGAAATCAGCTTTTGAAAATTAATCTGATGCTTGCTATTGAGTGGCGGGATGGAGTTTCCTGTAGTCCAAGTGAGAAGTCGTAACCAGTGAGGCATCCAGTCGATAGTGAGGATGGAATTCCCGCCGATGACATTGGCTGATGCCAGTCGAGCTAAAATTACGAATTGGTAGAAGTTAGAATTCATGGGTTGGCCATTGAATTGGGTCCGGTGTTGAATGGTCTACGAGCTTGCCTTGTAACCGGACGGTCCTCGGTGTGAACACCTTGTGGGTGGTGCGTATTGCCGATGAGTTGCATACTAGGCTGACGAAACAGTTGGGTGTCCATTACTGCCTGGTGATTTCCAATGGTTCTCTAACTGATATCAATCGGTGGTCAAACATGTAAAACAAATCTAATCCTTACAAATCAATGCTTGAAAACTTCCTATCACAGTTAAATATTGTTTCGTTTAAGGTCATTCAAAATGCCAAAACATACAAGTGTCAATAGTTAATCTTTTTCACAACCGATCATTTTACGCTTTGAAATGTAAATCAACGTTTCTTTGTTGTCCTATGTTAATATTTGATGGTATGTCAGTGTGCAGTTAGTTGCATAAATTGCATTATGTAATGTTAGAGTGTTTAATCTCTCTTGTGAATATAAGTTAGGTAAAATAGCAGTTATAATCGTTCACTTTCCACACAAATAACTCATTCTAACAAAGTATTCACATTGTAAACCTACAGGAGAATATTTAAAAAGAGTGATGCAGCCACGAATCACTGAAGTATTACAAGCCCCCAATAAAGTTGTGCCTAAACCTTCTTGATTAGTAGTGAAAAATAAGAAAGTCGGTATTAAAGAGAAACTTGCTACTTTTGGTTAAAACTGACTGCCAGTGGAATCCAGGCTGCGCATTTCTTCATATTTGCGTCTTGTCATCTGGGCATATGATGTCCCTGTGAGGACCCGAACTAAGGACCCTTCGTCCCCATTGTGAAAGCGGTCTCCACTGTGTCACTGGGTAATACAAGGCAAACCTACTCCT